CCTTCTATCAATACCAAAAGACTTAAAAAGCTTGAGCAATATTTTCTACTCTTAAAACCTGAGGATCAACTTCAGATACTTATAAATTTGCAAGAATCACCAACCTTGACAATAGGGTGATGTGTTGATACCATATTGTTTTCTTGTTATTTAAGTCTTCTTGTTTTAATTAGGTATATTCTTCTGCTCTTGCCGTAATTATGTATGTTTTTGTAGATTTGTTTCAAATGGGTCATTAGTCCGTTGGATGATCAAAAAGATTTTCTTGCTATTTATTACATGCCGTTTTATTTTGTTAATTTTGTAGTCTCTTCCCTAGAATTGCCTAGCATCTTATTTCACATGTGGTTTATTTTTTTTTTTGAGTTGTCCTGATTTTATTCCTCTCTTCTTCATCACCAAGATTCAGTTGGTATAATTGCATATCATCTTCATACACATTCCTCGTATATTCTGCCACTTTTTTTTTTATTCTTTCCAGAATGTGGCCTACGATAATGGACCGGTTTTTTCTGTTCCGTTGCAAGATACCATGGACAAAATAGCAAACTATTTGTTCCTACGATGATGGGCCAGTTTATTTCCCTACTTTCTTCCAACCAATGCTTTTGTTTATTTCCCTACTTTGTTCCTATCTCCCTTGAAGCTATTAATTTATTATTTGTGTTCATAATTGATATTTTGCATTCTCTTGCAGTTAAACAATCAACCAATGTTGCATTTGGTAGCCTCTCATTTTTGCTCACCTAATGGTGATTACTCGTTGGCGATTCCCTCATTTTTCCTCATTTATTAATTTATTAAATTTATCTTGATTCCTTTTTTTATAATTCATTGTAATACTTCTTGGCTATTGTACTCATCCTTAGGTCAATTGATTGTTTTCCAGCATCTAGAACTACAAAAGTCATTAAATTAGGTTTTGATTATGAAATGTGTTTCAAAGCAAAACATGCTAAGGATCCTATATTTTTGTCATATTTGAAAATGATAGATTATCCATTCCCCAAACATGTATTGTATTTGATAATTGTAGAGAGAGAGAGAGAGGGGGGGGGAGAGAAAGAAAGTCAATTTGTTGGAGACAAAAACAAAAGATGGAATAGGAAGAAGGGGAAGTGAGACAAATAAAGGAGGGAATTCGTATAAGGGGGGGAGAGAGAGAGAGAGAATAATGGTATACATATTTTATTGATAAAAAAAATGGTATACATATTTCTTCCATGTGACCAAACATAACCTGACCATTTGTATGAGTTGTATGAGTTAGCATGTAAGTTTTGGGCCAAAATACCACCTCTAATTTGTTCAATCACTCATTTGGTTAATATTTAGTTCAATTTGCTTATTTAAATATTACTCATATTGGTTAATTTGTCTAATTTGTAGTTGAAGATTTTCATATGTTTCTATGCTTATTATTAGAATGGCTTTGCTGCTTAGTTCATTCTTATTATTAATAGTTTTCTTACTTGTGTTTGCAAGGAAGAAAGAATATTTGCTCCTTCATCCCTTTTCTACAATTTGAAAACTTTTTTTTTGTAATACGTTTGATCAAACAAATATATGAGTTTTGCATGGGATAGAGGAGAGTATTTTAGAATTGGGACGAAAAACAACTTATTAATGGGATTATACATAATAACCCAAAAGAAACATAGACAAAATGTGGATCCCTTCACTGAAAATGTGAAGTATTTAAGTATCCTAGACGGATTTGGGTAGAATTGGAGCTTAGAATGTGTCACCTCTTTTTTATTATCTTCTCCATGAAAGAAAATTTCATGGTCAATCAAAGTTTCTAAGAATCACGCATTTGGATTTCGGACAATCATGCATGTAAAGTAACACTTTACATGTTTATTTGTTCATTTTTTTGAATTTATTGGTTGAAGGCATGATAGATAAACCTCTGTAGAGTTAGGCTAAGAGAAGGAGCTTATCTTGTGTTGGTTCTTGATTGTAGATGTTTGCTGTATTGTTGTTTATTAGGAAATTGTTAGGTATAGGATTTCTATCATGCATAAAATTATGAATGAAATGCTAAAACTGTCTTTTAATCTTGAGAATGCACTCATTTTTATTACTTAAACATAAGAATTGCATTTGGTATCCAACATGGACCAGCTGATGATCCTGTAGTTGCAAAATGGCCAAGATTTCAGGTTCTCCAATTTATTGATTCTAAAAAATAACTAGGTTTCTCCTATAGATTATAATGGTGGTAAATATTGTTTTGGGGGTTTGTGCTAGCCTTTCTTCCAATATACTGAAGTCTGATTTTGAGTAAGCTCTAGAGTTGGTTTGGTGGGAGTAGTTTCACTATTTAACCTTGTCTTAGATTGCA